TAGTTAATCTCTTCAGGTAAAAATTTAGATCAGGCCTGCCTCTTTGGGCAATTCAAACCCTGCCTGAACATCTGCACAGATGGGCATTTAGATCGACCTAATCCTATTTTGCAAATTCTTATCCATTTCAGTAGACTGTTGAAGTCAGTGGGTCTTCTCTTGGGAGTAAAGACTACTTACTTGGGTGAGTTTGAGGGATCAAACCATTTATAATGAAAATCTTCTATAAAAAGCGAATTATCAACTAAATACACTTCAACCTGTTTGAGATCACATTTTGTCTCGTCTAAAGTGACAAAATTTACAATTTAGAGACACGCCCTAATCTAGAAGAATTGGGAATTGGGAAATAATCCCTCAGTTAGGTAGTTGCTGTTAGCTAGAGAAAGACAAAGGGTTTGTGGAGTTTGCTTCCTGCTTCAGAATAAAACCTGTTGTATAGTTCTTCTCATTCACGTATACCTGTATTCAGCAAACCTGGTGATCATTACACTGCCCTTTCCCATCATTATCTCTTGTCTTGTTCTCTCAAGTCTCTAGAACTGCCTCATCCTCTCAAATCTTTAAAACTGGGCTCATTAACTTTACAGGTACACTAATGGACACAAAGATAACATTTCAATGCCAGACTACTTGCTTGGTGGACACAAACACCACTGAATATCCAAATAAAGTACCCATACTTAGTGTTTACACCTAGGGCTACAATTGACTGCACTTAAAACCTGTGTTTGAATTGTGACCTTTAACCACAAAATAGCAAAAGTGAAATATAAGGCTTCATTATAAAATTGGCCTATAGTATTTTGTTTAACATTTCTTAGGCCTTATATATGCTAATTCCAAAATGCTTTCTCTTTTGCTGTTTCATGGATGACACAATCATTTGTTTTGTCTTTTTTAATATTAAAGTGATGTTAGGTTCAAGTTTTACTAGCACTAAATTACTTGCATTTTTCCTAATAAAAGAGATACATAATGTACAGTATTAGACAGGCCCTAATATTGTACATGATGTATTTCTTTTATTAAGAAAAATGCAAGTAAAATACATTCCTAAAAATGTCATTAATTCTTTAGGGCTTATTTTTATACACACCGATTCATCATCCTTTAGTGAATCAATTATAAGTTTTACTTTTGGTATTTCCTGCAAGTATTTGTGGAACATGGTATGAATATTAGTGCCTGTGTGGTATGGAATATTAGTGGTATGAATATTAGGGAACAACAGAGTACCATCTAGAGCCACAGTAGGCATACTATGTAAACACGTCCACCCTGCTCTGCCAACAGAACTTAATGAGGCTATGAAACATTTGTGCCTTTTCAGTAGGAATCCCCATTTTGGAGGCTGTCTTTCTCACCTGAGTGATGGGACTATGAATTTTACTTCATTAGTGCCATTAGTTAAATTGTGTCGTGTCCCCCCCCCCCCCCCCCCCC